TGACTTCTATTATAGGTCTAGTTATATTATTAGAAACTAATAAAGGAAATTCTCCGTATGACTTGTGCCATTAATCAATTTCATCGGGTCCGGCCATGCTTCGGGCAGCCCTCATCCGACGTGGGCGAGAGTGTTTTTGACACCCTCCATCACGAGCCATGCAGGGAGGAGAAATGTTCGGGCGCACGGGAATTTCGAAATTATGGCACCTTGTATTGTTAGTCTAGGCTTCGCATCCAAAGGGAAATACTGCAATCGCTTGGTCAAGTGACATGCCCGAGCATAAACACACCGCCACAAACAGGCAGCAAACAGACATGCTCAATCTGGAATTCAACAGCCACCCCGTCTCAAGATACAACCATGGCTTTGTACGACCATAGCTTTGTACGACAATTTGGTAAGCTGGATCCGACGAAGCTCGGCATGTCCACATGCAAGAGTTCATGTGGAAGGCGCCATCCGTCCACGCACATTATATACCCCCTCCGCCCAGCCAACAAGAGCATGCAAACGACCATAGGACAACTTGGGTTTCGCAATGGACTCCGTCACATGGATGCAAAGAATGGTCCAGGGCCACACGGTGCTCGCCGTCACTGGTCTGGCGGCTCTATGGCTGATTACAGTGGTACTGTATCGCCTCACACTCCATCCCCTTGCACGAGTCCCTGGTCCTGTTCTCGCTGCCGCTACAGGTGCATACGAAGCCTACTTTCAGCTGATAAAAGACGGAGGCGGTCGATATTGGGTCGAGATAGATCGGCTCCATGATATATATGGTGCGTGCATTCAACATTTCTCAACAGAGCCTCATCTAACGCTTCCTTGTTGTCGCTACAGGACCTATTGTGCGAATCAGTCCATGGGAAGTTCACATTAAAGATTCAAACTGGAATGACGTCTACAAATTATCGTCGAAAGCGGCCAAGCCTCACTGGTATTACAAGAGCTTTGGCAATACCACAAGCACTACGACTACGGAACAGGATCACCTCCACCGAATGCGTCGCCAGGCTGTGCAGCCGTGGTTCTCATCCCAGAATGTTACTCAAAGTCTACCAAAAATACAAGAGACAATTGACAAGCTTCACGATCGCCTGAACTCCTCCGTCGACCAGGTCATAAACTTGAGCGATGCATACCGGTCCCTCTCCCTCGACGTCGCAACCGCCTTTGTTTTTCGAAAACCATTCGGTGCCTTGGATCATCCAGATTTCAACAAAGACTTCAACGAGGCTATCAAGAGCTATAGCCGCATTGGAATATTCAACAGGCATCTTTTCGGACTCCCACTTTGGCTGCTCCAATTGCTTCCGGTATCCATGACAAACAAAATCAGCTCCAGAGCTGGCCAAGCTTTCGTAGCGGTATATCAAAATCTCGTCAGAATCCCATCCTGCGGTACTGATATTGATACCTCCCGTTACAGACAGTCAACCGATTCGCTCGATACGCTTTCGACAACCCAGAGGTGCCGGAAGAGGGCCCGCAAGACGCAGTACAGACGATGCTCGCAGCAAACCTCCCAAAACAGCAAAAAACTTTCGACCGCGTATTTGGTGAATGCCGAGGGTTCATCCTTGCTGGAACCGAGACTACCGCCACCGTTCTAACCTCAATCACCTACCATGCTCTAGCAAATCCGGAAATACTCACCAGGCTACGGACCGAAATCAGAAGCGGCCTCGAAGCAAAGGGGACTGCTCTGGAGTATCAACAAGTCAAAGCTTTGCCATATCTGACTGGCGTGATCAACGAAGCTCTACGAACGAGCAACTCAGTCTCCGCGCGACTTGTCCGCTACTCTGATGTAGCCGACTTTGAGTACCAGCAATTCTTGCTGCCTCGTGGGGTTCGTGCTTACCCCAAGTCCGTACACAGAATCGAATGTTGACTGAAAAATAATGACTAGACTTATATTTCTATGAGCATCAACGACGTGCACATGGATTCTGCCATTTTCCCTGAGCCTGAAAAGTTCAATCCCGACCGCTGGCTGAATCAAGCCGACTACAAGCGACTTGTAAAGCATCTACAGCCATGGGGCCGTGGATCTCGAATTTGTCTCGGCCTGGAGCTCGCCTATGCTGACCTCTACTTGACGGTGTCACGACTCTTTGATCCACAATGCAGCTTCCAAATGCAGCTGTTCGAAACAAAGCAAAGCGACTGGGACCTTTTTCATGACTACTTTGGACCAGCACCCGGTCCCGGAAGTCGGGGGCTCCGAGTGCTTGTTGAATCCAGCAAGAAAGCAAGGTAGTGGATCAGAAAGCCGTGGCTTTACTTTTAGCTTTTATTTCAGCTGTATGGGTTTTTTTCGAGTAGTGTTGGGCGTTCCTCATGGTGTTGAGGGACTGTGTGTACGTGTTTAGGCACCGCAATATTGTTTACGGTCACTGATACGTGTCCTGAGACTGTGCGCACAACTGATAGGAGTATAAGAGCATACAAAGACTAAAATTATCAAGAGAGCGAATAGAGTCTGTCATGAGTATAGCTTCAAACTACTTTGCTCGGGTCCGACGCTGCCTCGTCAACCATCTGCTGGGCGTTGCGAAATGTCAAGTCGGGAAAAAACTTGGCGCGATGGCGCTCAACCCTGCTCCACGGAAACCGAACTCCCGAACCATGGCTCCAGAGCTCCAGAATGGCTGCGGCGTAGCTCTCCTCGCTCTCTTGGGCCATGTACTGGTTGATGGTCTGCGAGAGTGACTTGGTTCGAAAAGTGTAGGCCGAATCTTGGCTCTGAATGAAGTGTCCGAGCTCTTTCCACGTCATTTGCGCGCCAGAGACATAGAGGAACTCGTCCCATTCGCGTCTGTCATGCTCGAGAAGTCGAATTGTGGCACGAGCAGTGTCCCTGGCAGAGGTAAAGTTGACGAGTTGCGAGCCGTCGCCGTACAAGGTAAAGACTTTTTCAGCATAATTTTGTGGCCACATATCGCCCAGGCTGCTCAAATATCGCTGCGTCTCGGGCACAATATAGTCAATGTACCATCCTGGGCTAACGGAACACCAGCTCACGTCGCTCTGGCTCCGCAGATCCTTGAGCACAGCTTCAATTTGGTCGGCCAGGCCGAGCGGCTCGTCTGGGAAGTCTTCAAAATTGCCACCCCACGTGGCCGGGATGAAGCGTTTGCAAGTGCTGGATTTTTGGCAAGCCCGGAGGATTGCTCGATGAATCGGAACATTCTCTGGTATAGCAAATCTCAGAGTGCAAATGGCTGCGTCACAAGTGGCCAGTGCCTGAGTGAGGTCAGCTTCGCTGTAGTCGGTCGTGTGCTGCGCGACTCCTAGCTTGTCGAGATGGGGCTTGCTGCTCCGGGAGATGGCTAGAACTTGGTGTCCGCGTTGGAGAAGCTCTTCGACAATGTATCGGGCGAGATCGCCAACGGCAATGACGGCGACTTTCATGATGGACTGGGTAAAGGTGATGTTTGCTTTTCTGCTGCTTTGCGATGGATGGATGGAGATGGTTACTTGGCGACATGCGTCGCACGAGGTCATCTTATAGGCAATTGGGCATGTCCGAGTTTGACTGACGCCAGATACGTACAGGTAATCAGTTCATTTTCGATTCTCCAATGTCCACCGCGCAGATGACCAAGCCGGCAACGAAGAAACGAGTAAATTCCACTTATACGAATGTGCACACTCCACACGAACTCCGTCAAACAGCAAACAGATCAACACGCCGATTACGCAATTATCATCGACATCGTGTTTGTCAAGTTCTTCAACATTGGTTACTAATAGCCAGTGTGCGGCCAAGAAAATGTTGTAGAGGGCGCACCTCGTGTGTGTGTTGGATATCAGCAAGCTCCATGTCAACTCCGCCGAGTCCGCCAACATGACATGTTGTTGCTACAAGCACCGCATCACAGCGCCAAGATGGTTGTAGAAAAGGTCCGCGCTGTGGACGAATATGACACAACTCGAATAGGAAATAGTGGCCTCGAGGTCAATGGCCCAATGGCAGACGAGGATTTCAGAAAGTTCACGTGAAGAGGTGAAATCGAAACCAGACGCGGGCCCGCGCCTCGCCCGATGCCGTGGCCCGAAAAACACTATTTTAGTTGATCGCGCGGTTGCCCGAGGGCCCCGACCCGTTCCTACATTATTCAGCACATAAGCGACGACGTCCAAGATTAATCAGAAATCCGCATCCGGGGCAATCTTGTCCGGAATGGGAAAGCCGACATGTCGTGGGTATAAAGAGATCACCCCGAACCGGATAGCTGAGTAAATACAAGTCGCCCACAATCTAGGGAGACGTAAATGTTGTCTTTTGCGTATTCTGCTAGGTGTCTTGCATACTTGTCAGGCTCGCTGTCAGCATCACTTTTGCCTAGATAGCTCACCCATTTTTTATATAATCCGTAAAGCTGGGGTGATCATTAGGGGCTTGCAGTATATTGATTGTGGCGGCGCTACCTCTCTACAGCACACACCACCAGACTTGTTTGGCGCCCAACCTCCTTTTATCTCCTGCAGGCTATTTAATAAGTATCTTGTTCTGGTCTATGAAGCTGAATGACTCTTCAGCCGGACGACGCTGTGCCATTTAGGTTCATCATCAATTGTATCATGACGGTTACTGCGCGAAACTCCCCCCTTTATATCCTAAACGCCTGCTGTGTTCTATTTACTTGTCCAACTACCCCCCTGCATCAAAACTACGAGTCCAACGCCTTCAGTATCAGCCATGCCGTGGCTGCACATGCTGGCGTACGGCCTGCAACCTGCAACCTATCAACCAACTACTGGTACAAGACACAGCACCAATAGACTGGGCGGGGTTCAGTGCTGATCAAAAGGAGTGTCATGCAACGACCATTGCATCCGTTCCTTGATGGGGAGCAAGGGTGCCATCTCCTACTAGTTACGCCAACCAGGGCCGGGTTCCCATGCGTGAATATGACCGAGTTCATTGCTGATCAAAGCAATACTCTTAAAAAAAATATCAGATAGGCGACACAGACAAAAAATTCATTCGACACCTGCAGGATTCGAACCTACGCACGCGAACGTAATGCCTTACTAGTGGGGCTGTTAGCGTCAGAGTCTTTGGAAGTCGGTGATGGTGTATACATACGCAGGGCACCGCCTTAACCACTCGGCCAAAGTGTCAGTTGTTGTTCAGGGCGACGCTTGTTCAATATTATAGTATGCTATTTTATATTCCGCTGATCAACTGGCTCACGCTCGATTACGTTTACGAACCTACAATACGGATATTTATTGTAGTCTGCTTGACGTCCTCCTTGGCTCCAGTAATAAGCACTTCACTATGCTGATACCCTTGGTAAAGGAGCCTGCCCTCTGTTGAACTTTTGACAACTTCACAGCAGAGTCTTTGGTCTCTTGAAATATTGCAAAAAAAGCACTTCAATGTTATTCAGGTCCTTCAAGACATGTGGCGCGCTGCCGGGGTTTAAAGGGTGGTTGAGGACACGATTCAGCTCAAAGCGAGCCGCTTATACAAGGTGTCGAGACTACAAGGCTGACTAGCAGATATTGGCGGCAGTGTCAGCGCCAAATTGTTGTCAAGTCGACTTTATTATTAGTGCGTCGAGAACGCCCTGCGGCGGACAACCGAGCACTGCTGCGCGCCCTATGGCACTCGGAATTGCTGGTGATTTGGTCATGTCGAGAGGATAGCGATTTGTCGTCGATTTGAGACATCAGGCTGCGATGACTCAAAATAAGCCAACCAAGTTAGCCTCAGGCGGTTGTATATAAATAATGGGCAGTTCCACCAAGTCGCATGGAGAGAAGACAACTTACATCTTGGTCGCCAGTCACAACGACCGCATCATGGTCGCCCTCACCTTTCGCCGCGCCACAGCGGACGACGCGCCTCGTCTGCGCGATCTCATGGAACACGCCTTTTCAACCAAGGACTCGCGACCCAACTGGACGGGCGACGAAGAACTCGCCTCCAACTACACGCTGAAGCTCGAAAGCATGCAAGCGGCCCTCGCCATGGACGGCCTGGTGACGTTTGCCGTCCTGAATGAGGCGGGCGACATTATCGCCTCGGCCAATGTGGGCAAGAAAGGAGACGACACTGGCCGTATCGGCGGTCTCATTGTGCAGGACGGATATCAGCGCGGCGGCGTCGGCGGTCAGGTCCTGACTTATGCCGAGGAGTACTGCAAAAGAGAATGGGGGGTGAGGAAGCTGTCGCTCAATGCGCTGTCGACGCGCACCGCACTGCTGGCGTGGTACAGGAGCCGGGAATATCGAGAGACTGGCCAGAAGAGCGCATTCCCGCGCGACGATGATCGTTTTGCCTCGTGCACGATTCCGGAGGATCTCTGCTTTGTCGAAATGTCAAAGGACCTCTATGCGGGGGAAAGCGCCGAAAAGCTGCAGGAAAAGTAATTCGCAACGCTGGGGTTGGAAGGAAGCCGGCCAGTTATATATGTATATAGCAAGAAGCACTCATAGTGGCGCATTGCCCGTTTCACCCATGACTGACAAGTCAAGTCATGGCTATTACGTCTGTGGAATGGGGAAACAAAGTAATAAAAGGCACCGCCTGCAATTGTCGGTTAGGCATGGCTGAAGACAAGCTTACACGATCGGCCAGAGGGCTGCAACGTGACAGCACCTGTGAGACCACCCCGCGCCGTCAACTCGACGAAGCACAAGATACAGGCAGTAATATCATAGGCTATATGTTGCCAGCAGGGGGCAGGTGCCACCCAAAGGCATTGTACATCCTCTCCAATGGAGAAAAAGCAAAAAAATAAAATAAAAATAAAAAAAATAAAATAAAAAATAAATAAAATCCGCGTCAAAGTATTTAAGAGGCTGACTGGCCTGCCTCACACTGCCCTGCAGGATTTCGCTCTTACCAAGTTTCTTTGCAAGTTCAATAGTGCACCATGTCAACAGATCAGATCCCCCTCGGCCTCGGCCTCGACATGGCCATTGTCGGCGCGGGTATAGCTGGCCTATCCACTGCCATCGCGCTGCTCCTTCAAGACGGCGCAAACCATCGCGTCACAGTGTTGGAAAAGTATGCAAATTGCCAGCCAACGTTTAGTGGCCCTATTCAAATCCACACAAACGGTACCCGGGTTTTGAAAGGCTATGGTGTCTCGGAAGCGATCGAAGCGTGCTTGCCTGAGCTGCGGTCGGTGAACAATATTTACAGATTGTCCGACGGCCATTTGCTATACAACTTGCCTACTGCCGTGTCGCAAAAGAATTACAAGTTGCCGTACGTAACTGACGAGGCGGTGTCTTACGAGGATAATGAATACACATTGACGAGAAGCAGGGTTTGGAATATCAACCGCAGCGACTTACTGGGCATTCTCTTGGCTCGCGCAAAAGAATTGGGAGCATTGTGCCGGTTCAGCGCCGGAGTTGCGGACATTGACGCTGAAGCGGCTCGGCCACTTCTTACAATGGAAGATGGAGAAACGATTTCCTTTGATCTCGTGATTGCTTGCGATGGTAAGCTTTGATGCTATGCATGATGGCAAACTTGCAGCCCTGACAAGACTTTAGGAGTCCGTTCAAAGATCCGGACCAAGATTATGGGCAACGTCGATGTCGTCCACCCATTGGCTGCATACAGCGTTAGTGTTGACCGGGAGAAGCTCAAGGAGCACGACGATCTTCAGTTCTTTCTCAACACAAGCGGATTCTGGATGGGTCCCAAACAGACAGTTGTCGGCATGGATCTTCGGTCGACCTGCAATCTTGTCTTTTGCACTGAAACAGACGACGGAGAGGAAGGCGTCTGGGACAAGCCACACGATGTGGAGGACGTCAAGAGGCAGTTTTCCAATGCTGAGCCGCGTTTACACAAGTTGATGAGCTTGGCCAGCGGCGCATGCTTCATATGGCAGTTTTCGGACCTTGCCGAGCTCGACACATGGACGAGCCGCAATGGCAGAGTTGTCTTGCTTGGCGATGCGGCGCACGCTATGCTCCCTTTTGCAGCACAGGTAAGATGATGGAAGCGTAAGACTGATCTTTTATTAAAAAACCGGTTTGAAATACAGGGAGCTGGTTCTGCTATTGAAGACAGCGCATGTTTGGCAGAATGTATCACGCGGAGTAGCAGCATTTCCAAAGCAACCGCAGCATTTGAAGCGATTCGCAAGCCACGCACCACGTACATTTCCAAAGCCGGCCGTCTGAACATGGAGTTTAGTCACCTGCCTCATGGCCCTGAACAAGAAGCGCGCGACGCTGCTCTGGCAAAGATGCGTGAAGAAGAAGCGAAAAGGGCAGCACCCACGCCCGAGGCCGCGCTCACACCGCGAAACCTGCAAGACTTTGAGCCTCCAGAAACGGCAGCAAGCTTATATACTTCTATTGCACGAAGTTATGTCAGTGGTTATGACATTATTGCTCATGTGCGTGATCTGATCCTCGGGAGATGCGGTGTCCGCTAATACACTTATAGACGAATGCCTACTTGAACAACCTCTACACAGACGGTGATATCTAAGCTTACACTGTGATTTGATAGCCGAGTTAAAAAAGCATGATGAATCGAATATACACTGCACAGTACTGCTTTCACTCTATGTACATGTTGTTCGTGATGCCCATTGCCAACCTCTCATACCCATCCGTCTTGACCAGCTTTCTCCATCTCGCAACTCACTGGCCATCGCCTCCCCAGTTGCTGCAGCTGCCACGGCCCGGAGCATGAGGGCGGCGCGAGTTTCGGGTCACATCGGGGCCGGGCTGGGGAAACTCGACGTCAGTGCCCTCGTAGGTGCAGACGCCGTTGCCGACATTGGCGACAAACATGTCGGGGCGGCTGTTGAGGGGAACAGAGGCGTCGCGGCGGGACTTTCCAGAGACGGTGACAACGGCGCAGTTCATGTACATTTCGCGGTTGCCCTCGTTGTTGAACCAGCTCCAGGCAAAAATCATCTGGCCAGAGGGCGTGTCGTTGGGGAGCGTGAACCGGTAGCTCGAGTCGCCGTTGACGGGGCAGTTGCCAATGTACGAGTGCACAACCTTGTACGTGCGGCCCTTGTCAAAGGACACCGAGGCCTGGCAGCTGCCGCCCTTGTGCGGCGTGTTGCCGGTAATGACAAAGGAGTAGGTGCCGCCGGGAGCCCAGGTGGCGACGGGCGCGCCCTTTTTGGTGCCGACGAGGCCGAGCTCGCCTTTGCACGGGAAGTCGCTGCCGTCGGAGCTGAGGGGCGAGCGAATGTCATAGTCAATGTCGTAGCCCGTGTTGGGGTTGAAGCTGGAGCGCAAGGGAGGAGGACTCTTCATCTCCATGTGGGCAGCAGCCAAGGAGGCCAGGCCAAGACTGGCAAAGAGGGAGCTAAAGACTTTCATTTTCAAGTTGCAGAGGAATGATCCTTGTCTAGAAATCTCAAAGTGTTGTGTTGAGCGCCTTGGGACAGAAAAACCAAGTTGGAACGATGGCGCTTAGTCTCTGGGGCAACATTGATGTTTATATAATAGTAAAAAAAAGACTTTTTCAACGGTGTTTTACTGATAATTTGATGTTCATACCTCTAACCAAGATGTGAAGCCATGGTACTGTAACATGGAAGGACCAATGCTCACACAATGCTGTAGCAGTGAGTGAGCACCGTGAGGTATGAAACCATGGCCTCTCAAACCGAGAGTAAAGGCCACCTTCCAATTTCGGACAACTTGACCACGACTTTTCTGTACAGTATTGGATCGAGGTGTCATTTGCATAAAAACCTGCTTGCTACTCACTAATCAGTTTAGCACGCGTCCGCAGCAATATATTCCTCCGCTACAACTCTGCCACTTGCTCAGTCATGCACCACCTAGTTCGTGAGGGGAGGAGGGGTCACGCAGCCTGTCATTTCAAAATCTGTCAGAGTGGCCGCATGAAGCTACGCCACTCACAGAGTCTACTTCCTAATCGGGGACGGCGCTGGTTGGGTGGTGGCATGTCATTGGAAGCCATCGAGACATGGGCTGGCACGTACCCCACGCCACCAGAGCGTGGAGGACAGGGATTTATATTAAAGTAGCAGTAACGTAGCGTGTACTACATATATATATGAGAAATCAAAAAAGGGACATTCAAAGTCATGAGTTTGGTCAGGTGGTCTTATATCACATCCCTCGAATTTGTTTCTCGCTGCCGGTCAAGCAAT